ACCCAGAAAATGGGGAGGGAAGCCATGAGGAGGACCAAGGAGGCCAGAATCATTACACAGTTCACCCTTGAACAACACGGGTGTGAAATGCGCAGGTCCACTTATACGTGGGTTTTTTTTTTCCATTTGATGACAGTTCAGTAGACCCACACAGTTGTACTGACTGCAGTTCAAACCCGCAGTGTTCAAGGTTCAAATCTGTGGTTGGGAATCCACATGGGCTGAGGGCCGACTTTAGGTATCTCTGGGCTTTCAACTGCACGCGAGATCAGCACCTCTAATCCCGGTGTCGGTCAAGGGTCAGCTGTATATCCACAGCTCTAGATTGGGAAAGGCAGGCATTGGATTTAGAAAGCAGAGTGCGTATCTGTCTAGCAAAACTCAGAATTCTAATCCCTCCTGTGTTTTTGTCCTTAGGTCTGCCTGTGATTTCAGCTGTAGGGCTGATCAACACTGGAAGCAGGGAAGGAGGAGAAAATTGCACCAGATCAGTGCAGGTTGGTGTGAGGCCTACCTGAATAGACCTGTAGAGTATAGTGGTGTATACCAAGGGGGCTGGGCGTTCCTTAGACTCTCTCCCTTTCAGAAAGTTTTCCCACCATCCCCGCTGCTATTTAATGCAGAGAAAAGAGTGTACTAGTGCCCGGGCAGGACACTGTTGGGCATTAGTGGGAGTGTGGAAGGGATAAAATGATGTAACAGTTTTCTACGATTCCAGTTCTCCTACCACATAGTCCATGTCTACTCTCTCGTGTCCTGTGTGGCCGCCTGCACAGATAAGCACAGTTGGAAGAGACTCAAAGCCCATTTCCTTCTTGCACCTCAGGTCCATCTCCAGCGGTGGCTGTGGTGGCCTTGGAGTGGCGGAAGATTATCACTTTCAACTTGTGTGCACTCAGGACCCATCACCTTCCGTCGGCCTGAGTGCCTCGGCCCTCTGTCTGTATCATTGACAGAGGCTGTGTGTTTGGCAAGGGGACTGCGTGCCTGCTGAACCGACTGTTGACTCTAACTCTTGCTACAGAGTTTCCCTCTGACCGAGTGAAAGAGTGTCAAGACATCGACCTGGGACAGGTTGAGAGCCAACGCCAAGACTGTATAGGGCTACCTACATAACTGGGCTTCAGCCATGACTCGGAGTAGAAATAAGGCCAAAACTGCAAAAAAGGCTGGTGTCGCAGCCGAAGCAAAGAGGGAGGCTGCTCGTGTAGCCAAGACCCCGGCCAAGGCAAAAGGCACGGCAGGGTCTCAGGCAGATTCAGTGGCAGAGATGAAGGCAGTGTCTAAGAACAAGGTTGTAATTGAGATGAAGGAAGGATCCCTGGCAAATTTCAGTCCCAAAGCTGAAGATGAGGCCACTAGAGCATCTCGGTTTTGTTGTGTGGCTGAGGCTAGTGCCAAGTCCAGGTCTATGCGTAAAGATAAGGCTGACATCGGTGCCTGCTTCTGGGCTGGGGAAGGGACCAGTGTTGGTTCCGGGTTCTGGAATGGAGAAGGGACTGGTAATCGCTCCAATGCTAAGGACGAAGAGAAAGCTGATACTGGTCCCCCATCCTGTGCTGAGAAGTTGGAGCCTGTGGTGGCCAGGGATGACTGCAAGGCTGGGCCAGGTGCTAAGGGGGAGGAGGAGGAGGACGAGGAGAATGTTATCGGGAACTGGTTTTGGGATGGAGACGAAACTAGTTTTGACCCTAATCCTAGACCCGTGAGTAAGATAGTTAGGCCCCAGCCTGTGGATGAAATTAATGAAAAAAATAGGCCCAAGGACTGGTCTGAGGTAACTATCTGGCCCAAAGCCCCTGCTGTAACCCCAGCAGTGTTAGGATTTAGATCCCAAGTCCCATCTGAGACAAGGCCCCCTTCATATATCGTCCTGGCCTCGGCTGAGGAGAATCCTCAGTCTTTGCCTGTGGCAACAGCATGCTCTTCCATGAGCACTCCTCCATGCTCACAGCCTATCCCTGAGTGCCCATTTGGCTCTGACTCTTGCATTCAGACCATAGAGGAGATTAGACGCCAAATCAGGTTCAGGGAGGCGAATGGGATTAAGCCATTTGCTTGCCCTTGCAAAATGGAATGCTACATGAGTTCTGAGGAGTTTGAAAAACTTGTTACCTTACTCAAGTCAACTACTGATCCTCTCATTCATAAAATAGCTCAAATTGCAATGGGGGTCATCAATGTTCATCCATTTGCCCAAGAGTTCATCAATGAGGTGGGTGTAGTGACGCTTATTGAAAGCTTGCTCAGTTTCCCTTCCTCTGAAATGAGAAAAAAGGCCGTAATTACTCTGAATCCCCCTTGTGGGGATGAAAGAGAACGCAAGGTTGCATTACATGTCAAGCATATGTGTGAGGAAACTGCGTGTTTTCCCTTGAACTCACCCGGACAGCAGTCTGGATTAAAGATACTAGGGCAACTGACTGCTGACTCTAACCATCACCGTATTGTTGCCAATTACTTTTCCGAGCTTTTTCGCGTGCTGTCCCTGGGAAATCGTAAAACCAGAAACCTTGTTTTGAAAGTACTATTGAATTTGTCTGAGAACCCAGCTGCAGCCAGAGACATGATCAGTACAAAGGCATTAGCAGCATTAAAACTCATCTTTAACCAGAAAGAAGCAAAAGCCAATCTGGTTAGTGCCGTGGCCATATTTATTAACATAAAAGAGCATATCAGAAAGGGCTTGATTGTGGTTGTCGATCACTTGAGTTATAACACGCTCATGGCCATTTTCCGTGAAGTTAAAGTGATTATTGAGACAATGTAAAATGAGCCAGAAATAAGAGCGAACACCTTTTGAACAGTCTCCA